TCTTTGTGATCTGACCAGACATAGTCCTTCTAATTCCTAAAACACTGCATGCTGTGTCTAGCCTTTGGGCTTCTACACATTTTCTCTCTTTTTTTCTGGTAACTTTTCCCTCTTTCCTCATCTCTACTCTCTCAGTTAATTCTTTCTCTCCTTTAGGCTTTGGTTTAAACATCACCCCCTTTGAAAAGCCTTCTCTGACCACTTAGACTTAAGCTAATTGCCTTTCCCATCTGTCCTTTATTATAGTGTTTACCATCCTTAACCATCAGGGCTTGTTTAATTCTTTATCTCCCTGTCCTCCCGGCCTGCCTCCCCACACCCCTGCCAAGGGGTCCTGGTAACATGGGGGTAATTTTCTTGTCTTGCTGCTATTTCCTCAGCAGACTTAATGCCTCCTCCACAGGCACTGATTAGGTACATAATACATACTAAAAAAAAGCTACTATTTATTGAATATTCACATACTTTGATCCACTGATTTAATTTTTGGGAATCTGTCCCAGGGGGATAGTCAAGAAGCCGGTATGGGATAGAAAGGGAAGATGATACAGTAGAAATACGGTGTTGGAGAGTGTGAGGCTTGAATCCTGACCCTACCACTTGAGGCATGTTATTTTCTGAGGCTCAGTCTTCTTCTCTGTAAAATGGGGATGTGTGACATTGGCAGTAAAGGGAAGACAGGTTGCTGGATTAGGCACCAATGACTTTCAAAAGGGGTGTTTCCAAAGAGGGATGGAAGGAAGACCATCATTTTTTCGAATAGCTCAGGAGTGAGAGAGATGAGGAAATACAGAATATAAATGATTAATTAGTTCAAGAAAATTGGGATTGAAGAGACTGGGAGCAGGCGCTTGAAGCTACTCTTTGATGAGAGATTTGGGAATGTTCCTAGTAGAAGGAAGCCAGAGCAGAGGAAGAAAATGAAGCTAAGTGAGATTTGTCAAGGTCCTCGGAGATGAGCGGTGGGATCCTATACATGCGAAAAGGAGTTAGGTTACTCAGGGAGGAACGTGTTTTCCTGAGGGGCAGCAGTAAAGTCAGGTTAAGGCTACTAAGATATTTTGAGGTAGTGACAGGAGAACCTAAAAGACTTTTCAATGGACCATCTTGCTCTTCTTAGGATATCTCATAAGAATTAAAGAAGCCAAGATGGAATTCAAAGTTTGGGGAAAATAACAAGGCTTTCCTGTAGAATACAGGAGAAGAGTCCAGTAAGGGTGAATGTGTTTGCCAAGAAGTGCTGAAAGATCCAGCTGGGGTGGAATAGAAATATCAACGTTCATAATCTGCAGTGGTAACAATAGGTTTCTGTTCCACTCAGCAGATCAGAATGTAGAAGCTGTGTAGTTGGCTTAATCTAGGGTTGTTTGTTGCTGTGGTGGGCAGCGTATATGGGATGGGCCACTATAGTGATATCAGACTTGCCTAGATGGAGGACAGGTGTGGGAGTGAGGAGTGAGTTGGTGTATACCAAAGCAAGTTCCCAATGTCGTTAACGAAGGATGACCCATGTCCTGGGAAACTGATGATTGTGGCAACAGAATGAGAAATGGGTGCTGTCATTGGCCTTCTCTCTGAGGGAGGGGTGGTGCTGGAAGGGGCTCTAAATAGCAATGGGGGAACAAGAGAATGCCAAGGTGACTGTGATGAAAACAGACCAAATATCACAGACATATTGGCATATACATATGTATTTGTAGTTAGTGACTGGGCCTTTATAGTGTAGTCACATTTGAGGCTCATTTGTAGCTTCTGTCCCCTATTTATTGAACAATTGAGTTCTAGGCTTCTGATATCTGGGCCCAGCCACGAAGAAGTCAGGCTAAGTATGAAGGGCTGAATATGTATTTATTTATTTAGATTTTATTTATTCATTTGACAGAGAGAGAGACAGCGAGAGAGGGAACATAAGCAGGGGGAGTGGGAGAAGGAGAAGCAGGCTTCCCGCTGTGCAGGGAGCCCCATGCGGGGCTGGATTCCAGGACCCTGGGATCATGACCCCAGCTGAATTCAGGTAGATGCTTAACAACTGAGCCACCCAAGCGCCCCTGTTGATTTATGTTTAAGGTTTATTTATTTATTTTGAGAGAGAGAGAGGTGGGCAGGGCAGAAGGAGAGAGAGAATCTTTTTTTTTTTTTAAAGATTTTATTTATTCATTTGACAGACAAAGATCACAAGTAGGCAGAGAAGCAGGCAGAGAGAGGAGGAAGCAGGCTCCCTGCTGAGCAGAGAGCCTGATGTGGGGCTTGAAATCAGGACCCTGGGATCACGACCTGAGCCTAAGTCAGAGGCTTTAACTCACTGAGCCACCCAGGCCCTTGGAGAGAGAGAATCTTAAGCAGACACCCAGCCGAGTGGGGAGTGCAACTGAGGGTTCCATTGCACAATACTGAGGTCACAACCAGAGCCGAAATCAAGCGTGGGACGCTTAACCCACTGAGCCACCCAGACACCCCAGGGCTGAACATTTATTCACTTAGTAAATTTTGACAGAAGGTACTAGGTTCTAGACATTGTCTGAAGATTCAAGGAGCATAAAGGTCTGGTTCTTGCCTTGGGCATGTGGATATTTACTGTGAAGTCTCAGGTTTACAACGACTATAAGGGGGGAATCTAGAACTTCCCATCATTAATTCTCCTTCCCGTGAAATATGTGGTGTTGGAGACTGAGAAAGCGTTTGGGAGATTGTTAGCAAAGAAAGTCTGACAGTGTCAGTAAAGTTCTGCCATTAAGAAAGTATTTTCTAAAAAAGAATTTTATCATTTTCAAGTAACATAGGGTGGAACTTAGACTTAGGAATTTCTCAGCAAAGACTCTGCTTAACTTAGTTGATATGAGAATGAAACTGATTGGGTCTACTAGCACAAGTAAATAACACTGCTATGGGCGGTGGGGTTATCAGGCATTCTGCATGTACTTTATTTAATGGTTTGTCCTGCTTTCTTTTCTTTTTTAAAAAGATTTTATTTATTTATTTGCCAGACAGAGATCACAAGTAGGCAGAGAGGCAGCAGAGAGAGAAAGGGAAGCAGGCTCCCCGCTGAGCAGAGCCCCCCCCCCCGCCATATGGGGCTGGATCCCAGGACCCTGGGATCATGACCTGAGCTGAAGGCAGAGGCTTTAACCCACTCAGCCACCCAGGCACCGCTGTCCTGCTTTCTGTACTTGCTTTCTCAGGATACCCTAAATATTCTGTAGTCATCTTTATTTCCCCCCTAATATAATATAAAAATCCAGTAGTTAAAACTATTATTCAAATGTATCTGGGCACCCCGTACTTTTATTTGCTAAATTTTGTGGCCCTACTAAGAAATCACTCAATACCTATAACCTCTTATACTTTGGCCTGCTTAATGGTGTCTCTGTCAAGGCAAATAGGACTTCCTGTTCCAGCAATTTCCCCACGCTGATCACAGTCTGTCTTTCTGAAATTTTTACCTGCTGCGCCAAGCATCACTCTTTGAGACCACATGGAACAGATCTAAATGTTTTTCCTTAAGGGAGTTCAGATTTTGAATTCATCTTGTTGGAGACCACCTTATGTTATAGACTCTTAACAAGCTCTCTATGAGCTAAAGCCAGTGGCGTGCTAGTAAACTGCATCAAAACCACAAGAAACAGGGTGCCTGGGTGGCTCAGTGGGTTAAGCCTCTGCCTTCGGCTCAGGTCATGATCTCAGGGTCCTGGGATCGAGGCCCGCATCGGGCTCTCTGCTCAGCGGGGAGCCTGCTTTCTCCTCTCTCTCTATGCCTGCCTCTCTGCATACTTGTGATCTCTCTCTCTGTTTCAAATAAATAAATAAAATCTTAAAAAAAAAACCCACAAGAAACAAAACTCTAATTTGTGACATATGCTGATTTCTGTGGTGAAAATGCTCCTGCTAGGACACCATGACCAATTTCACACTGCCAAAGTCAAGTCTGAGTTCAGAGTCGGGAAAGATGTGCATGTGGTGCTCTTGAGGTTGGTAGGTATTGGCTCCAGTACAATAATCCCTAAGTTTTCTCTTTATTAACATATTTTGTAATTAGTTTCACTCTATTTGAATATTAAGTTGTTGATCCTGGTGTGCGAGAGAGAGCATGAGGGTGGAGGAGCAGAGGGAGAAGCAGACTCCATGCTGAGCAGGGAGCCTGACACGGGGCTCGATCCCAGGACCCTGGGATCATGACCTGAGCTGAAGGCAGAGGCTTAACCCACTGAGCCACCCAGACGCCCTGACACTGGTGTCTTGAGGAAAAGAGTTTTATAAACACTCTACAGGTAGGTATGGTAAGAAGAGGGGACAGATCAGCTATGGAGAATAAAGGAGAGGTTGGGATCAAAAGTTAACTCCCAGGTTACTGGGTATTGATGCAAATCAAGATAGAGACAGTAGGTTCAGGGAGGAAAGATAAGTAATTTATACATTCCTGGAGCAAATATGTATTGAGTGCTAATCCATGTGAGACACAGGTATTTCTGAGGACAGATGTAAGGGAGAACACAACAGATAAAGATCTTTGCTCTTGTGGAGATGATATTTTATCTTATTAGAATTGGCCCCTTGATTACCTGTGGGATTACATGTGGGAATCTCCTTGGACCCAGAATCTTCTGCTGAATAACTCTCCTACCCTTTCCACGTTCGAGCCACTAAGACATTTAATAAATGGCTTTCTAGTACCTTGTACCACACCATTAGAAATCTCCATCCAAACTGATTTCAGATGGTGCAGCTGTTACCTCCTACAGGTTGCCTTGGCTGCCAATTCCTGACTGCTTCCATCCCTCTGAATCCAGTTAACTTTCGTCCCCTAGCAGCCCTTGTAGTCATAAGACACAACCCTTGTGTAATATGTATCTTTTTGCTTCCCTGCTACATTATACATTTTCCCAGGGTGTTTTCTTGCAAGTTCCCCCTTAACAGATGAAGCAGAGCCATCCATCAGCTTAGCCTTTTTCTGAAGCAGTGAAGTCCAAACTTAGTACATTTTCAATGTAAAATATTCATCCAAGTGAGTCAAAATCATTTTTACTTTCCATTAATATTTTCCTCCCAGTTACATTAAGATAAAATCCCCAAACAAAAATAGAGCCCCTCAAATCAGTCCTTCTTGGATTTCATTCTAATTTAACACATACACACTTTTCACAATTCATCATAACAGTAATGTTCTGAACTCCCTACTAGCAAGTTTATTCACTATTTTACATTTGGCTTACTGCTGGAGGGAAGTTACATGCACGGGGAGGGAAGGGTAACTAGATGGTACTGCTGGGGACAAATATTTACTTGGGAAAAAATAATACAAATAAATATATGAACCAATGTCTCATGTCAGTCGTCACATAACCCACTAGGCGAGGGAATGGCTTTGCTCTGGACTCTGGCATCCAGCAGATACCATCTCTAGAAACGGTTTCATCTTTATCTGTCATGGTCACGTGGCATGGTGTTCTCTAGATGTGTTGCATCTGCAACCCAGGAAATCTACATGTGTCTAAAGAGTGTCATTGGCACATGAGTTCTTCTTGCACAGTGAGTCATTTCCGAAGGACCTGTGAGCTTGCTTAGGTTTTCTGAAAATCCCAGGATCAAAGCCTTACACATCCCTCTTGTGCTCAGGACAGCTATCACCCAGCCATACTTTCAACATTCCAGTAAGTTTTGATCTTGGAGGCACTTAGAACATTCTTACATTTATAATTTTATTCCAGTTTGATATTTGTCATCGTACTTTCTCTCGTAAATCAACTCCAGAGTCAGCATCTCTTACCATCTTCAAGGGAAACCACCCATGCAGGGTTCTCATCTCTGGTGTGTTGTGTGCCTAAATAATATTACTTATTTGCTAGGATGTCTGTGCTCCAAGAGCTGCCATATATATTATATACAACAAAGTTTTCTGGCAAGTTTGCTTTTGGTTTCTTCAAAAGTAACGTGGATTTTCCGGGGCTAAAGGATACAAAGAGGTATTTACTTTTCAGCTTTTCTACCCCATATGTTTTAACATAAGTAGAAAAAGATGGGGCCAGCTTCCCAGTGTAGACGAATTCTGTAGATGGCTCCACTGTATTCATTTCTCTGCCTTTCCTTGCGAGAAGGCCAGAACCAATAGGTAAGTTGGTCCTTTGCCCATCTGCCTAGGATCAACTTTTTCCTTTCCTTGCTCTCACTCTAGATTATGGATTTTGTTTGAAATCTGTTTCACTTCAGACACTTAAAGAACAACCTCATTTAATCCCACTCAAGTGATAGCTGGGAGTTCTTAAAAAAAGACCCCTAAATTGTGTGGCCAATCATATAGCTCATGGCAGACACATGAACTTTGATCTACGTTTAATCTCTGATTCTATTTTGACATGATACCCTTTTCGATTAACACTGGAAAAACCAAGTCAAGGTTTAGGCAAGGGGGGGCAGGGAAGGGTAGGAGTTGACTGAAGTTGGGGGTCCCTGAAACAGACAATTATCACCCCAAACCCATTTCCCTCAAATCTGGGGGTGATGGCTGAGTCATATTCTCAAAGCCACGTCTGCCTGGAGAAAGGGTATTCTGCCTTTTCTGCAGAGCTCTGCAGACACACTAACTCATAACATCCCCAGTACCTTGGTCATTGCTTGTGGTCATACACTCCGTGGACCAGTCTTGGGGGATCACAGGAGCAACCAGCTTAGCAAACTCTGTCAGAGGACAGCTGGGAGTGCAGCCTGGCAGTGTGAGGGGATATGGCTCGTGCTGTGTCTCATTCCGGTAGTACATCTCTACAAAGTACTCCCTGGTGGAGGAAGGTAGACGACAGAGCTGTTAACTCTTTGTTGTTGACTTGCCATTGAATTATTTTCCACCTGGCCCATAATATGTCAGCTGTAGTTAAGAAGTTAAGAAGTTAGGGGCTTCTGGGTGGCTCAGTCGGTTAAGCATCTGCCTTCGGCTTGGGTCATGATCCCAGGGTTCTGGGATCAAGTTCCGCATTGGGCTCCCTGCTCAGCGAGGAGTCTGCTTCTCCCTCTGCCCCTCCCCACCATGTGCTCTTTTTCTCAAATAAATAAGATCTTAAAAAAGAAAACTTAAAAGACACAGGTTAAGAGGGGAAGAATTTACAGGAATGAGTGGGTATTAGCCAACTTAAGTGTGAGAATGGGTAGATTGGTGCAGGTGGGCCAGATCCAGAGGGTGGAAATAGAAGGGCTGGTTTGTCAGATAACGAGGGGCAAAAGAGATGGGGACCAGGAGGCTTCACTGGAGAGGGAGCTGAGAGGAGATGGTTGAGGGAATTGGGGTGATCTGAAGAGACTTTGAGTAAGAAGTGGGGAGCAGGTGGGATATTGGGTTTTCTTTTTCTTATTCTCTCCCCTTCGTGATTCTCGTTTACTTCATTTTCTCTCTTCTTTTCTCAGGATTTCTTTTAGGTTTTCCTCTGAACAAAGATATCTCTGCTCTCCTTATTCAGGCAATAAACATGGAACTGATCAATATTTAACATATGTGCTTAATTAAATATACATTCAGATTTTGTAAAAATTATACCTCAGAGAGAGGGTGTGGGTGTATACTTAAGTCCTTATACTCCCTCATATTCGATACTTTATTTGAAAAAACAAGGTGTATGCCAGCCTTATAAAACTAGTTTGAGAGCCCATGGAGTCATTTGCCAAAGAGGCAGGAAAGAAGCTCAGGTAGGATTTAGTGATCATTCTTGGGGTAGTAACCTCACAACTGCAGCCGTTGGGTGTTTTTATAAATAAGCCTTTTAAAATATCACTTTCAGGGGTGCCTGGGTGGTACAGTTGTTTTTAAGCACCTGACTCTTGGTTTCGGCTCAGGTCATGATCTCATGGTCAGGGGATTGAGGCCCGAGTCGGGCTCTTTGCTAGATGCGAAGTCTGCTTGAGATTCTCTCTCTCTCCCTCTGCCCCTCCTGCTTGTGCTCTGTCTCTAAAATGAATAAATAAATCATTAAAAAAATTTCACTTTTAAAAGCCACATAACCGGTAGTAACCACAAGTATATGTATGTATATGTGTGTGTGTGTGTGTGTGTGTGTGTGTGTGTGTGTATATATATTAGGATTTATCTACTTATTTGTCAGAGAGGGAGAGGGAGGGAGGGAGGGAGCATGAACAGGGGGAGCACAGGCAGAGGGAGAAGCAGGCTCCCCACTGCCAAGCAAGGAGCCTGATGTGGGACTCAGTTCCAAGACCCTGGGATCATGACCTGAGCCAAAGGCAGCCGTTTAACAGACTGAGCCACCCAGGCATCCCTAGAGATATGTTTTTTAAAACTTCCCAATATTATGTGAATGACTACTTATACCCTGAAATGATTTTCCCAGTGACAGCATCTTTTATCTCAAGATGATATGGCAAAGATGACTAATAGTTGATCAAAATTCATGATTCTCTTTCCACATACTAGAGTTATGGCTGAAAAGGGACTACATTTCCCAGACTCCCTTGCATGTAGGTGAGACCAAGCAACTAGACGCATTCCTTGGAGATACTGTGGGTTTGGTTTCAGACCACCACAATAAAGCAAGTATTATAATACAGTGAATCAAATCAATTATCTGGTTTCCCAGTGCATACAAAAGTTATGTTTATACTAAACTGTAGTGTATTAAGTGTGCAATAGCATTATACCTAAAAAATGTATATAAGTTAATTAAGAATACTTTATTGCTAAAAAAAAATGCTAACCATCTTCTGAGCTTGCGGCAAGTTGTAATCTTCTTGCTGGTAGAGGGTCTTGCCTCAGTGTTGATGGCCTCTGACTGTAGGGTGGTGGTTGCCGAAGGGTGGGGTAACTGTGGCAATTTCTTAAAATAAGGCAGTAGTGAAGTCTGCCACATTGATTGACCCTTCCTTTCACCAACCATCTCTCTGCAGCATGTGATGCTGTTTGTGAGCATTTTACCCACAGTAGAACTTCTTTCAAAATTAGAGTCCTTGCCCTCAAACCCTGCTGCTGCTTCATCAACTGAGTTTATGTGATATTCTCAATCCTTTGTCATTTCAACAATGTTCCCAGCATCTTCACCAGGCATAGTTTCCATCTCAAGAAACCACCCTCTTTGCCCATCCGTAAGAAGCAACTCCTCACCCATTATTTTAGTCATGAGATTGCAGCAGTCCAGTCCCATCTTCAGGCTCTGCTTCTAATTCTAGTTCTCTCGCTATTTCTACCACATCTGCATTAAAGTCTTAAATCCCTCTAAGTCATCTGTGAGGGCTTTGGAATCAACTTCCTCCAAACTTCTGTTAATGTTGATATTTTGACATCTTCTCCTGAATCATGAAAGTTCTTAATGGCATTTAAAATGGTGAACCCTTTCAATTTACTTTGCCCAAATCCATCAAAGAGGAATCACTAGTGTACCTCTTGGTGGGAGTTATGGCCTTACTATAGGTCCTAAAAAGATAGAACCCTGGGTCCCCAAATCACAGTATGATTGAGTCACCTCCTAATGGGTCGGGTCATCTCTCTCTCTCTCTTTCTTTTTTTAGGGGGAGAGGGGGAGGAGGAAAGGAAAAGAGAGAATCTTAAGCAGTCTCCATGCCCAGTGCTAAGTTTGAGGTGTGGCTTGATGTCATGACTCTAAGATCATGACCCTGAGATCATGACCTCAGCCAAAATCAAGAGTTGACACTTAACTGACTGAGCCACCCAGGTGCTGCAACCAACCACGGACATCACTGTTGGAGTATTAGATGAGTGAGAAAGAAATGTCCATTGGGATAAGCCTCTGAGAATCTGAGGTTCATTTGTACAGTAGCCAAAATTACCCTTATTAGTTAATATATCTGTTTTTTAAAAAAGATTTTATTTATTTATTTGAGAGAGAGAGAAAGAGACAGTGACAGAGATAGCAAGAGACAGAGCACAAGCAGGGAGGAGAGGGAGAAGCAGTTTCGTGCTGAGCAAAAGCCAGTTGTGGGGGTAATTCTAGGACCCTGGGATCATGACCTGAGCTAAGGCAGACCCTTGATGGACTGAACCACCCAGGCGCCCCTGTTAATATATCTGTAAAACAGTTTTAGGGGACTCAAAATTGGCTCTAATGATGAAGACACAAGTTAAGATGCATACAAAGAGTTTGGATAAAATTGTTTCATGAAATTTGAAAGTGGAAAAATAGCAATATTTTTAACTTAGGGAATTATTTTGTATAGTATATATTTTTTTAGGTACTTATATTTTTTACGTACTTAATTGAAAATTAAATATTTTAAGAAAATATTTAATACAATAATAATAATAATAATAATAATAATAATAATAATAATAAAAACCCTGGGGTCCAGTGGTATTAAGTGTGAAAAGCACCTCTTAGATACTTACCCCTTCTCAAGATACAATTCCATTATGTGGCATGAAGCATAGGGAGGAAGGATTCCATTGTAAACATCTAGTGCCATCTGTAGGCCACTCACGGTAGTGTCATGCTGTGGGAATTTGAAGCAAATCATTTTCCATCTTTACCTTTGGTTCAGATGTACATTCCACAGGTGGTACTAAGCACTTGTAGAGAACCATGATGGTTTCTGAATCACTTAAATTTGTCATACCCGCATGGTAGAGAGGGGAAGGGCTAATTTTGGTGGAGTATCTGTTGTGTGCTAGGCAGTACATTCCCATTAAAAAGATGAACAAACAGGGGGCACCTAGGTGGCTCAGTCGTTAGCATCTGCCTTGGGCTCAGGTCATGATCCCAGGGTCCTGGGATTGAGCCCCGCATCAGGCTCCCTGGTCAGCAGGGGGCCTGCTTCTCTCTCCACCACTCCCCCTGCTTGTGTTCCCTCTCTATCCCTTTCTCTATTAAATAAATAAATGAAATCTTAAAAAAAAAAAAAAAGCCCAGATAAATTAAGTAACTTGCTTGATGTCATATAACCCCAAAATGGAAGAAAGTAAATTTGAGTCTGGTGTTCAGGTTTTGTACCATGCTTTTCCCCAGTGGAACATCTCTGTTCTAGCTTGTTCCATTAAATTTTAAAACATTTTGGAACATATTAGTGCTAGATTATATTTCTTCTACAGATTAGAATAATCTGATTTTAAAGTTGGAGAAGAGGGATGCCTGGGTGGCTCGGTTGTTTAAGTGTCTGCCTTGAGCTCAGGTCATGATCTCAGGGTCCTGGGATTGAATCCCATGTCAGGCTCCCTGCTCAGTGGGGAATTTGCTTCTCCCTCGGCCTCTCCTCCTGCTTGTGCTCTCTCTCTCAAATAAATGAATTTAAAAAGTCTTAAAAAAGTAAAGCTGGGGAAGAATATATAAGGTTATAAATGTTAGAGAGGTCAAAATGTAAGGAAATAGAGAGCATAGCTCAAAAGTAATTGTTAATTGTTTATCCCCGAGTGGCTGGAGGGCACAGGGGGCTGGTTTTCAGTCCCAGTTTTGCCACTAATTAACTTGATAATCTTTGAAAGTCCTCAGCATCTGTATCTACAAAATGGGCATAACATTTGGGTGCCTAAACTATATGGCAGTGTACACATATTAAAAAGAGCTTAGAACTGATTTCCTGGACAAGGAACTAGTTATGGAATTATAACTTGCAAGAAGTCACACCAATTAGAACAGGAAACCAGATGAGAAACTAAAGAAACTGGCAGAACAGACTGGTTTCAGGAAGCCCCTCTCCAGGAAGGACTACATTCTGTTCCATCCATGAGCTTTTGTCTTACACCACTCAGAATGATGATAAACAGACTTCCCTGTATCTGGAGTCACTTCTTCCATCTTCTGCAGAATGAAAACGTGGCTTTCTCCAGCCAAATCACATCTGAGAAATCCTCTGTCATAAAGAAGTAGGTGGGAAGCCGAGTTCCCATACTATGTGTCCTGATTGCAGGACTCATTGCAGACTCCATGGACAGCCATCTCAGTGCTCAATGCACCCCTTGAATCCCCCCACCTCCGGCCCCAACTCCCTGATCAGTGCCTCTTTCCCTGGCTCCTGCTCCTAAGACTGAAGTCTTCTTTCTGCATCCAATGTAGCTCTAACTTCACGTTGCAGCTCTCTTTCCCCCTTCTCTCTTCTAGTCCCTTTGTCTCTTGTGGTTTCTATTTGGGCGCCCCCTGGCATTTCAAACCCAGCTGTCTAAATTGCTATATCCCCCCGGCCCAAGAGCACCTCTGTTAATGGCTCCACCCTCCTTCCAGTCCTGGAGGCTTGAAACATAGCCTTCACCTGTGGTTTTCCCTCCACATCCTTACTCCCCGCCGACATCCCATTCATAACCGTATCCCGTTCCTGCTCTGCTTTTAGTTTGGAACAGAAGGGATGCTTCCCTTCTCCATGCCACCAAGGCACTTGCTTGCGCTGCATTTCTATACTGCTTTGTAGGGTGTTTATGTCTTTTTGTCAGTCCTAGATCGTAAACTCCTCAAGGGCCAGAATTATGTATCAAAATTTAAAATTAAAATTAAAAAAAAATTTTTAAAATGCCAACCACACAGGTGGTCATATAGACACATATTTAGGAGAGCTGAAGAATCAATATCTAAAATGTCTACCATCTATTGGGCAAAAGGGAGGTGACGATGAAGAAAATGAGGCTCCCTCCTTAAAGAGATCACTGCCTGAACAGATGGCTCTTGAGTGGAGGTGAAAACACTTACTGCGGAATACATGATGAGTTTTCTGTGGTTCGATGGCTGAGTTGCACTCTTCATGTGTTTGAGGATCTCACGGACCAGGACACCTTCAAAAAGACAGACCAACAAAAGAGCTGAACCAAACATGGGCTTAAACATTTTGTTAATTCCTCCTTCACGATTCTCCCTACCATGAGTCTCAGGACTTAAGAGAGGAAAAGAAAGAACTCTGGTTGAGCACCTACTGTGTGCTTTATGTTATTTTACTGAATTCTGACTTCTGTTCCCCATTTATAGTGAGAAAACTAAGGCCCAGCCACATATAGTGACTCATATGCAGGCTGGACAAGGAGAGTTGGATTCGCACAGGAGGACCTTACTATCCCCAGATTTTGTCCAAACTTGAGAAAGGAGGTTGATGAACTTGGAAGGAATTACAAAGGGCATTTTTCAGACAGTTGCTAGCTGGAGCTTTTCTCTAGGGCAGCCCTGAAATGACAGCCTGGCATTTACTTTGTAGACAATCTATCTACTTTGTCTTCATCCCTCTTGCACAACTCTGTGCACCTGGCATCCCTCTTTGACTACTCTGAGGTAGTCAAACCTGTGGGAGGCCATGGGAGAAAGTAGCTCTCTGGATGTCTGTACAGGTCACGGAATATTTTCTGTGGACCATTTCTCCAGGTGACCCCCAGGATTACTATTAGAGGGCAGCCAGCATCTTCCATCCGAGGGCTCCCTAGAAGAGAGCTCTCACCCTCATATTTGTTGTTCCTAACCAGGAACACCACTCTGAGTCTCCATCCTCTTGGCAGACACTGAAGGTTGAGGGGTATCTTGGGGTGCTAGGTCCTGGCTTGAGGACATGGTGCCCCAGGGATTTCCACAACCATCACTGGAAGACTCCTTATATCTCTGGTGTTTTTTAAAGATTTGTTAATTTATTTGAGAGAGAGAGAGAGAGAGAGCACAGGAAGGAGGGGCAGAGGAAGAGGGAGAGAGAGAGAGTCTGAAACAGACTCCACCCTGAACGTGGAGCCGGATGTGGGGCTCAATCCCATGACCCAGAGATCACAAGCCAAAACCAAGAGCTGAACTCAACCCACTGTGCCACCCCTCCCCCACCCCCCTGGGTGGTTTCTTTACTACATGTGTACTCTCCTGGCTCCAGAATGATGAGTTTGTTTCTGTAAAGAGCAGGGCATTGATGTTAACAGACTGTCATTCCAGACTCTGTGGTCCACTCAGCCAACACACTGAGCAGCTACCACAGGTCAGATGCTATGCTAGGTGAATCAGATGCCTGCCCTCAAAAAGCTCATAAAATAGTACAAAGAGACTGTTTATTCATCTGTCTACCAAGAGGCACCATAAAGGGCTAATTAGGAAGGGAGGCAGTCTGCTCTCTCTGTAGATTCTGGACACCCCCCGACTAGGAATGGAAGAAACAGGAAGCCATATCTCCAACAAGTCTGTATCACTCTGCTTCAGAGAAGGTGGCTTTCTCAGCATCCTTTAGGGACAATACCATCACCTATCAGCAACCTGACTTCGGCAGGTGCCTCTGCAGCAGCCTTCGGTGTCAATGATGGGATATGATACCAGCTCTTGGTTCTGGGGTGATGGTCCATCTCGCCCCAGAAGAACCTGGGGGTAACCACCACAGTTTCCCCCAGGCTCTGGCATGCCAATGATTGTGTTCATGGGAGGGGACACTGAGGATCAGAGACATTCAGCAACTTGTTCAAGATTCCACACCATGTGCACAGAGGGGCTGAACTTCTCTGAACCCAGCATCTCTTAATCCTTAGGCTACCCTGTAGCACAGGTTAGCTTCTGAGTTCCCTGTTGCATCATCTGGTGACTGCTACGCTCGATGAAGTATCACCGAGTGGAAGACACAAACTTCCCTTCCCACACTCTTGAGCTACAGCAGGGGCTGGCACACTTTCTGTGAAGGACCACACAGTCAATGTTTTAGGTTCTGAGACCCTACAGTTGGCCATAACTCTTCCCTTTCAGGGGGAAGCCCCAAAATAGCCATAGCACTACCTAATGAGTATGGCTGAGTTTCAGTCACATTTTACTTATAAAAAATAGGCAGAGGCTGGATTTGGCTTGCAGGCTCTAGCTTACACCAACCTGCAGCACAGAGCGAGGAGATGTTTGTCTTAATACAGATAGGACCAGCCATATATCCAAAATTCCTACACGAATCATAGGAATTTTTGTGGTGTGTGTGTGTGTGTGTGTGTGTGTGTGTGTGTGTGTAGAAGGTGGGTGGAGGAGTACAGAGTACCAAACTGTGGCATCCCTAAAACCAACTGATGGAACAAAAGTTTCGGCAAAATGCCAGTCAAAGTCCTGATGTTCCTGTGTGACTCTGTGTCACCCAGACAATACATGTTTTCTCTGTAGGATTGTGTTTAGCCGCCTCATCATCCAACAAGCACGCAGCTGACAAATCTCCCTTGCCTAGCCAGATCCAAACAATAGGCCGAACTCGGGTTTTGGCAGGAATCACTCAGGAAACGATTTCCTGGCCAGTCAATAGCCTGGACTTCTCCAGAGAACAGGACAGGTGCGTTCACACCAATACCAGCCTTTGAAGTCCGAAACCAAAAGAACACCTGAGGGAAGGACTCTAAACAGACAGGATCTAGTTTAATACACTCATCAGAGGGGAAACCCGGAATGAGCCAGGAAGTGACCTCCCTGAAATGCCATGTCTAGTAGTCAAAGGAAAACAAGAAGAAACGTGAACAAACTGTGAGGAAAATGCCCAGTTTTTCTCCCTATACAGACGCCTGCATCTATTATTAGACTAGTCTCAGTTTCTGTCTGGCTTCCCCTGCCCATGTCTTCAGCATTTCTTGCATTGAGAGAAGTGCTTCTGAACTTTCATGTTTCGTGAGGTGCCTAGGGATTTCGGGAGAAGGCAGATTCTGATCCCTCGGGTCTGGGGTGGAGCCTGAGGATCCTGCATTTCCAACCAGAGGCTTGCTGATGCGGTTGCTGCTGCTGCCCCCTGGCCTGCATGTCAAGTAGTGAGGGGCTGAACACCTCAGCCCATTGTGACTAGTTGGGGGAACTCAATCAAGAGCGCTGTCTCCACCATTGATGTGACTTGGGATTGGGTGGTACCAGGGGTGGTACTGGGGGTTCAGGAGTAAGACCCGGTGTATATGGAGCCAATGGGGCCCAACATCCACCCTTTGCCTCCTTCCTTGTTTGTGCATCAGACAGGGCTGCTGCTTGGGCCAGGTCCCTACACACAGTCCTGACTGAACATCTGCCCAGTTGGTCCAACAGCCGGGATGCCTTGACTCTAAGTCTTCTCCTGGGACCCTGCTGAACTGGATGTGGCCCCACAGCGAATAGGATCTGGCGATGGTTGGAGTCTTGATGGGATTGCTCTGTTTTTCCCAAACTGTCTAGAACACCTCCTATGGCTTAGAATTTCTTCACTGTTAACCTGACATAATGGACCTTCTCTTGCTCTCCCTCCTCACTTTTAAGGTCTAGTTACACCTACGTCTGACGCAACCTTTGGTGTCTTGGCCTGCCGCCCAACTGACCTCGAGGCATCAGCATCTCTTGCTGTCCTGGCTCTACCTTCTTTCTTCCACCCAGCTATCCTGATTATAAAGGCTTGGCAGCCTTTTGCCTAGGTCTACTTTCATTCTGATAGGATGTCCTATGCTAGGAAAGGCCAAATACAGATGAAAGGAGGCATCACTGAGAAGTAAATGCCTTTCAACATCAATGGAAAAATTTAAGCTGTGTCATTAATTTGTCAACTGCAATATGTATTAATCTATGTAACATAATTAGTCTGGAAAATAGGTCTTATTAACTTTAGCAATGGCTACCATCAAGGACCTCAGGAAAACAGGCCCCCTTTTTTATCATACTTCCCACTTGAAAAATTCATCCTATAGGCCACCAGACACAATTGCTTTTCATGGGCTTAGATACAAAATCTTTCATTGTTTGATTTGGAAAGCATGAAAGTATCATTTAGCTTTAGGGCAAAGCTTTCATTTCCAGATGGGAAAACCAAGGCTCAGATTGGGCAATATTAATGACTATAAAAATATATAGTGTTTAGTGACAGTGTATTAAGTACCAGGTACTGTTTGTCCCAAACTTTTTGAATATATACATTTATTTTAATCCTTACTACCTGTGAGGAGGTATCAGTATTATCCCCATTTTGCAGAACAGAAACTAGTGCAGGAGTGATAAAGTGACTACTTCAAGGTCACATAGCAGGTTACTGGTGGGACAGCACTCAGACCCCAATCACTCAACCACAGATCTAGTATAGTCCTTTCACTTTTTTATATACTTACCCCCCTGCAGTCTAGATTTCTCTTTCTGCTTGTGAATTCCATAGATGGACAGGATAGATAATTCTGATAATTCTTTCAACTTAATCATGGTGTCCTCTGTGGCCCACGAGGGTAGAGTGAAATTGTGAATACTCTGTAGCAAAGAAAAAGGGAAGAAAATGTGTATTTTTATTTGTTGACTCTTTTGTCCTCTTTGCCCCGTAAGAACTGCTGGGTCTAGCCTTTCTTAACCAGCCATTTCTCTCGAGGAAAACTTTACTTTGTCATATGTAGTGGTATTGATTTTCAGAAGGGAAATTCACAGAGACTGATTTGCTCCCTCCTATGAATTCCATAGCTTTTGGCTGAGCTCTGGGTCCAAAGGAGGATTTCTGTTTTGCAGAGTAAGGGTAAGGTAGGGCAAGAATATACCTCATTCCTTTATGAAAGGTTTAGAAATCTATGAACCTGTGGGGAACGTAACACTGACAGTGTTAGATGATATTTCTATCAAACTTGAGAGGACAGCTGGGAGAGGCAGTATATTTCTGGAGCCTTCAGTACCAGACCCTCTACTCCCATCAGCTTTCAGTTTACTCACTCCTGGGGAACGTGAACCATACACACAGTAGGCTTTTGGTGAATATGTCTTAAATGGATGAATAAGCTGGATAGCAGAGCTGGTGTAGACTTCCTGCCAATATTTATTACTTGCTATGAAAAGTTCATTAAGAATCCCCCACATTCAAAGGTAGGATTGAGAGAGAGAGAGTACTTGAAAGAAATCATAGTGGAGTGTCTAGTGAGGAAATAAGTGGGAGAGAAGTGAAGAGGAAATCAAGCACCATGGCCACATCACAGAACAGCTCAGATCGACCCGTAGTAAGGAAGAAAAAAAAAATCAAGACTTAAGCCAAAATGTGGGCTCTTGTGTCCACTGAAGAGTTTTTTTTTTTTTTTTTTTTAAGATTTATTTGTTTATTTGGGGTGGGGAGGGGCAGAGGAAGAGAGAGAATCCTAAGCAGGCTCTATACCCAGGACAGAGCCGGACATAGGGCTCCTGTCTCATGACCCTGAGATCATGACCCGAGCCTAAACCAAGCATCAGATGCTTAACTGACTAGCCACCCAGGCGCCCCTGAAGAGTCTTTTATAAGGCTAATAAACCTTCCTTGAAACAGATGTTAATGATATAGTGAAACTATCAGGAAGGTCATGTGAAGGTCCATAAAGTCTGTTGTGGAGGGGGCAAACGGTGTCATTTGTTACTGACACGGAACCATGAAGGTAGTTGCTGGTTCCCGGGCCCTCACGATGATCTCAAGATCACAGGTGGTTATCAGTCCTATGGGTAGTCAGAATTTTGCCCCAGGATTCAGTAAACCCTGTGGGAAAAACAGCATTATGGAGTACCCCTTTAGGCCAGTAGATGGTGCATAGTGAGTGAAAAATACCAAGTAGCCTTGAAAACCCCAACGGTAATTGATGTAGTATTTCATATGCAGGTACAGCAAGAGATTCCCAACAAATCAATTTCAATAGCCTGGCTTAAAGTTGGCTTGCTTATTTTTATATCCAGAAATCAGGTACTTTTTTTTTTCTCTGTCTTACAATAATATTGCTTTTTTCATTAAAATCCGTGACAGGAGCCCAGCATTCCCGAGGGACTGAAAAATAAGTAAATGGTAAGACAAAAGAAAAGCAATTTTGCCTGCAATTTTCTAAAGAGTGAAGACATAAATAATGGAGAGAAAAAGTTAGAGTTTTCAATTTAATATAAAGAAGTCTTGAATTATGTTTCAATGTCAAAGGAAGCATAATATATCTGCCAAAAAATGTAAGAAAGTGTATTTATCTGTTTCAAAATAGGCATAAGTAAAAAAAATCAGACTGCAAGTTAATCTTTGATATTTTTTCTTTTACCTCACAAAATAAAGGGTCGTAGACTTTAGTCCACATTCCAAAAAGGTCCTGGGTATGGTATCCTGTAAATGTTGGCAGAGTTTCTATAAAATCCTGAAACACACATGGACAGAGAAAACATTTCTGCATTAGAGTCAGTCAGTCTCAGCATTACTGCTATTTGGCTGTTGTGGAGGGTGCCCTGGCTTTGTAGGGTGTTTGGCTGTCTGCCTGGCCTCTCGCCAACCAGATGGTTACCATCATCCCTAATCCCTCAGTTGGGACAACCGGAAGAGTCTCCAAACATTGCCAGGGTTCCCTGTGGGGCAAATCTGCCCCCACTGAAAACACTGTTCTTCACATAAACGTGCACCAGGAACATTGGCTGTGGTAATATGAACCCAAACAATTTCATGAACACTAACTGAGCATCTCATGATTACATTAAAAGTATGGGTGCATGCTGGCTTACTGCCACGTGTTCCTGGGTTGTCCTGGAATCAGGCCAAGTGTACTCCCTCAAAATTTTTGGGGAAACAGGTGAAGTAGAACTCACATAAAAATGACAAGTCAAGGTGAGAAAGGAAAGCATTTCTTAGGCCAGAGCACCTCAGGAATATACCACAGAAACTGGACTCGCTATCTGGCTATAAATTTGAAATTTGGGTGGGATATAAACATTTCTCTACTTCTGTATTATTCTTGGATTGTCACGGTCATGGTCACGAGACCCACTACTCAGCTATCTGCCTGGTGACTTTGGCAGCAATTTCTGGGAATCCTTGTTGGAGGTATTATTTGGTGGATAAATTTGCTAAGAAAATATAATTTGCCAATATTAACCCAAACAGATATCCATAAAATAAATATATTAAAGATCTCCCCCCCACCCCCAAGCCAAGCCAAATGAAAAACTCCAGGGCTAGATGACTTTATAGAGAAATTCTACCAAGACTTTCAGGAGCAAGTTATTCCAATGCTTATTTTAACTGTTATAGAGTGTAGAGAAAGGAAAAAAAAGAAAACTTCCAAAACATTTTTAAGAACCAAGTGCAACACTGACATTGACAAAAAGACTGGCCAGGAAAGAAAACTGTAGTCCAACGGTACTTTGAATATGAATGCAAAAGCTCTGAGTAAAATAGTAACAAATAATTCAATATCCAAAGAAAGGGGCTTGAGCCTAGACGTGTAAAGATGGCTCATTAGAGCAAATCTAAGAATATAATTCATCTTAGTAATTGATCCAAGGAGAAAAATAACTTGATAACACACACACACACACACACACACACATATATATGATTTATTTATTTATTTGAGAGAGAGGGAGACCGTTCATGGGCATGGTGGGGGGATGGTGCAGAGGGGACAGAGGGAGAGGGAGAGAGAAGGAGACTCCCTGCTGAGCATGGAGCCCTTTGTGGGGTTTGATCCCAGGACCTTCGATCATGACCTGAGCTGAAGTCAAGAGTCAGACACTTAACCAACTAAGCTGCCCAGGCACTCCTTGATTATATTTAAATAATGCTAAAAAGATTTTTTCAAAAAGTTAAACACAAGTATTGGTCAAAACAATCAATAAAAAAGGAAAGATGGTTAGTTCCTTAATTTGGTACAAATATCTCTATTTGGTCCTAAAGCCAGCATGCTTAATAGAAAAACACTTCTAAAATAAAAAATAAGATGAGGATGCTCACAGTCAATGCTCTTATGTCCTACTGTACTTTAAGTACTGGCCAGTGCAAAGACACAAAAGAAATCAGAGGTAGGGGGCACCTGGGTGGCTCAGTTGGTTAAGCATCTGCCTTCTGCTCAGGTCATGATCTCAGGGTCCTGGGATGGAGCCCCGCATCAGGCTCTCTGCTCAGCCGGGAGCCTGCTTTTCCCTCTCCTTCTGCCACTCCCCCTACTTGTACTCTCACTCTCTCTCTGTCAAATAAATAAATAAAATCTTTAAAAAAAAAAAGAAGAAATCAGAGGTAAAAATATTGGAAAAGTAGAGGTAAGTCAAGGTTATTTGTAGATATTATAATCTTAGAACAAACTTAAAGATAAATGTAAAGACCTATGTGAAGAAAACCTTAAAAAATTCTTGAAGAATAGGAAAATGTACCATGTTCTTAGAAAGGAACACTCAATGTCATAGAGTTGCAAATTCTTCAAGTTAATTTATAAATTCAATATGATCCCAATAAAAACACTAGAAAGTAAGAAAAAAATGTTTTTGGAACTGAGACAAGCTGATTCTAAAATTCACAAAGAAAATAAAAACAGAGCCATGAAAACTCAGAAAAGTTGAGAATGAGGGGTATAAGCCTTTTAGATATTAAAGCAGGTGTAAAGTCTTACTAAGTACAACATTGTAGTTTTGGCTAATAAAATAAAAGAATAATTGAATAGAATAAAAAATTCCAGCAACAGACCACATAAATGGGGGAATTTTAATATATTTAAAGGGAAGAGATAGACTTTTCAGTAAATAGTGATCGGGCGATTAGTTAATATGGGTAAACTTAATCAGGATACAAATTTTGTACCTAACCCCAGTATAAATGGATCCACGCAAAAATGAAGATATAGGAATTAGAAGAAAACATTATAGACTTCCTTTGAAACCTAGGAATGAGGAAAGTTTCTCTAAATATGACTATAAATATACAAATCATATATCAATACATCAGCACACTTAAGACTACGACATGGTGAAAACACTATAACCAATATCAACAGGCAGACAATAGAAACCATGCCATTTATGTCACAGGAAAAAAAAATAAAAATACATGGAGAAAGCTCCTAAAATATATAGAAAACAGAAAATCAATAATCCAGAAGCTAAATGGCCAAGGAATGTGAAGACAACTGAAAATTCAAAAGGCATTTAACTAGATAAAGATATCCTAAACTCACTCATCCTAAGAGAAAAAGACTACTGCACAATGCTTTATTAATGGTGATGATACTGGGCTTCCTTGCCTTGTTGCTGATTTTAGAGGGAACGCTTCTAGTGGTACCATTTTTTTACCTACAGATTGGCAAATATCCCTGAAGTTGTCTATACACTGTTGGCGTGGTTGTAGAGGAACAGGCAATCCTATGCTTTCTTGACTGGGGCAGACATTAGTATAGCTTCTTTGGAGGGCAATTTGATAATATTTCAAATTTCCCCAGAATTTCTACTTCTGGGATATCATTCCACAAATATTCTTGTGAAATTATTTAGATGTACAAGATACTCATATAGACTGTCAATGATTAGAAACGACTCACTTGTCCATCAGTATAAACTGGTTAAAAAAGTATGGTACATCCACAAATTTAAACGCAGTTATAAAAATTGAGGAAACTCTTTATGTACAGATAGAGTAATATTTCTAAGGTATATTGTTAAAATCCAAGGTGTCCATCTCTGTGAATATAGTATACTCCTTTTGTGTAGCAAAGGGGAAACTACCAGAGTATATTCATATTTATTTGTATATGCGTAAAGAAACTGCAAGACTATATAAGAAAATGGTGCCACCAGTTACCTGTGGGGTCATTAAGAGACTTCCCACTGTATTCCTTTTTATATTTTTAAAATTTGTGAACCATGTAAATGTATTAGAGATTTAAAATTTTATTTTTAAATACACAAAGCATTACATCTACCTTTTGCATAGTCTTAAAAAGGGGTATTTTGCAAAGTAGAAACATAAAATAAAAAAGACTATCCTTTGTATGTGAAATCAGTGTCCCGGCTCCTCAGCCTCATTAAGGCAGATCATTTTAGACTTGCATTTACTCTGACCCAGCCATGTACTTTCATCTAGTTCCTTCAGGCACACGGGGATAGGATCAGAAAGGGACTGGCTTCTTTACTGGCTTGTGGCCCCACGCAGGGAAGGGGACCAGATAGTGATGACTGACACTCATTAAATGTTTTAACCCACTGCTATAACTGGCCGCTGACAGACACATTCCTCCCACACTTGTTAGAACCTGGGGCTTCATCCTTTGTCTTGGCTCTCCTCACCTTCCTGTACCCCACAAAATGACATGTTTTCTAACCTTATAAGGATGCAACCTCTCCTGGAATTCTGTCGATTTGAGAGTCTCCTCCTTTAGTTCTTTAAAACGAGGGCAGTCCCGGAAAGGCAGGTATAGCAACTGAGGACAAAAGAAAGATCATGAATTCTTTATTAGTCAGAAGAACTTTGCTAAAGAAACTGCAGCCATATTTTAAGCCTCATTAGGTACAAAGTGACCTGAATAAAAGATTCAAATGTGTTTTGAGCTGAATGGAAATACTAAAATTGAGGAAAAAGAGATAAATGATCTGAGGTCTTAAATGGTAGAATATGCACCCAGAACCAAAAAGCTTTTTTTTTTTTTTCTTTCATGAACTTGCCTAAATAGGACTGCATTATTGGTAAATACTCACACTTTCTGGTTTTCCATGTTGATTTAACTATTATCTCGCTTCCTACCGGACCTCTTATATTTCTAGCACAAGATACACATGTGTGTGCAAAGACATCCTGCAACACCTCCCCTTTCCCCCACCACAAGTATAGAGAAATGAATAAGAGGCTCCGGAAAGAATCTAAGAGACTGATTAACCCCTCATTAACTTAAGTTCTGGTCAAAATAAAGGCATATGCTAAATATATAGAAAAATGTATTTTAAAACCCATTATAAGGACAAAGGGATGAGCTTAAGTTTGACAAGCTTCTCTAGTCTTGACTATAATCTATAGATTGGTGGCCCTCAGCTTATTTTGTTGCTCTTACTTTTCATTCGTGGCCGGCCCTGTATTTCCAGCCCTTAGTGGACACCACTACTCGGATGTTGCTCTTTTTCCTTAAGTTTAACACGTACAAAACTGAAGTCAACTTCATTTTTAACCATTTTGCCTTTGTAATCTTCTTTGGCCAATGGTAAAATTTATCATCCTGATTCATAGACTAATCAGTTTTGCTTGTTTACTTTCAAAATACACCCCAAATAGACTCCTCTTCATCAAATTCATTGTTCCTTCCCAGTCCAAACCATCATAACCTGTGATTTGACTAATGCTGCAGCCTTGTATTTGGTCAGTAGGTATCCATCCACTCTTTCCATTTTACAGTTCATTCTCCACGCCCACAGCTACCCGAATCCTTTTCATTTTATTTTTATCAACACCAGTCTTTCTAAAGCATTAATTAGATCATGCCATTCTGTAGTTTGTAATCTTCACTGGCTTTCATCTTACTTGGAATAAAATTCAAACTAAGTTAACTCTAGAGATCACTGTGCTGCTTTCCTGCTACTGTCCTCTTATTTTTCTCCAGCAACACTTGGGCCTCGTTGTGGTCCCTGAACCCACAGGCTTAGGGTACTGTTCCCTGCCTGAGACCTTGCCCCCAGACACTCCCACCAGGCTCTTCTAACTCAGCCCCAGCCATGATCATGTCACCTTGCTTTACTTCCTTTGGGGAACTCATCGCCATTTCAGATTATTACTACTTTTTACTTTATCATCTATTTCTTATAAAATATCAACTCAAGGACAGCCAGGATCTTGTCTGTCTTGTCCATTGCTGTGTTGTCAATGCCTAGAACAGAGTCTGGCCTATTTGTAGCTGCTCAGGAAACTTTAAAAATAAGCTTCTTCCTGGGGCATCTGGGTGGCCCAGTCATCTAAGCATTTGATTTCAGCTCAGGTTGTAATCCTGGTTGGGGTCCTGGGATCTTGGGGTCCCGTATCTGGCTCCCTCCTCAGCGGGCTGATTCTCCTCTCCCTCTGCCCCTCCCCCACACTCCTATGCTCATGCTCTCTCAAATAAAATCTAAGTAAATAAATAAAAATAAGTTGCTTCCTGATTCAGTGACATTTGCTTTACTTTGTTTTCCTTCCTCTCAGTATTTACCATCTAATTTCAGACCTTCATTTCCTCATTCCTCAAAGGCTTCCACATTTATTCTGTGAGGCTCCAGTATCCTTTCCTTCCAAACTGTGGTCAGACAGATGCCTTGGAGCACCGCTCATCATGTGTGCACAGTACTGAAGAAGGAATGTGCATGGGTTCTTTTTATGCCCGCTGCTTTGCAGCTCAATCTCCCTGCATGGTCTTCCGATTTTCTCACAGAAGGAATGGTACTGTAGAGGGAAAAGGCACAGGACTCTTCATTTAAAGGTCTAGGTTTTAGTGAATTACTCAACCTTCCTAGACTTTCATTTTCTCATCCCAAATATTGAAAGAGGCTGAAAATAAATGGGATTAAACACCTAAATATCTGACCAGCATTTTGTAATTCACAAAAGTTCTTCTGTTTCTTAACCGCATTTTCATGAATCGTCCTGAAGTATTCAGATTCTCCTGTCTATGCCCAACAGAGTCAGACATTTTCATTCCTTCTAAATAAGAACTCTGGACACAGAAGGGCAAGCCCTCTGTATAATCACCCACTGCCATGCTTTGGGGGTTTTCTTCTTCTCCTTTCCTTCCCCTCCGAGGTCTGGTTCAAGCTCTCACTCTCTCAGTGAAGACCTGAACGGTTGTCCTGTGGAAGTGCCATGGGAGCGTCATTCTGTGAGTTCCTCTAGCAGGTACAGCTTGTCCTTGCTTCATTGCCCACCACTTTGTATCGTGGTCTACACGTGTCAACCATGCAAATCTGTTTTCATCAAATGGATGATAAATGAGGGGAGAAACCTGGCCTCATATTTCTCTACAGCACTTAGCACAGCTCTGGGAATTACTGTGTGTTGACTGACGGATGTTTGTCCGGTTTCTTGGTTGATGTCAGAACGGTTTTTATCTTAGTGAGGACACAGCTGGAAGCCATGAGTGGATAATCTTGTTTCTCTCTTCCTCACTCCTTTTACTCTTTTCCTTTTTTTTTTTTCTTCAAGATTTTATTTATTTGACAGAGAGAGAGAAAAGCACACAAGTAGGATGCAGAGGGAGAAGCAGCTCCCGCTGAGCAGGAAGCCCGGCACGGGACGCGATCCCAGAATCCTGAGATCACAACCTGACCCGAAGGCAGACACTTAACCGACTGAGCCACCTAGATACCCCTCTCTTTTCCTCTTCTAATAGCTCCTATAATCTCTTTACTACATAATTTAATTACTATCTTTTAGGATTAAGTGTTAAACATCTGCCTTGGTCTACACTGGCTGAATTTAGTGCTGCTGTCTAGTGTCTGTCTATGCAGAAAAGGGCAAAGTGATTTTTTTTTTATCTTTTGAAAGAAAATATTCACAAATTCCTAAAAATACAGATCATCATAATACTTCTCTCTTGATTCTGTGAAGGAAAGAGGTACAAATGAATAATCCTGCTTTTCAGGAAACATCAGAAAAAGTGGTTGGAGCAAATTTACCTAGAGTGAGATTGACAGGGTCAGGCTGTTTTCTACAAAGTATTTGGGAAAGATTCTTATGTCATCAGATGCAACAGTTAAGTCAAGTGTCTAAGAGTACTGGCAGGGCAAAGAGGATGGAAGCCTACCCCAGGGGCTCCTGGGCAACAGTCCGAGTGCAGAAGTCATGCTAAGCCTCAGCTACCGAGAGAGGACACGGTCATGCTGACAGTGGCTGCAGGGGAATCAGGACAGATTCCTTGTTCCAAGTTATATCCTTCATATAATCTTTTTTTTTTCTTCAATTTTTACTTTTTTTTTTTTTAAAGATTTTATTTATTTATTTGACACAGAGAGAGAGAGAGAGAGAGACATCACAAGTAGAGGCAGGCAGAGAGAGAGGGGGAAGAAGGTTCCCTGCTGAACAGAGAGCTTGATGTGGGGCTCCATCCAGGACCCTGTGATCATGACCTGAGCCGAAGGCAGAAGCTTAATCCACTGAGCCACCCAGGCATCCCCAATTTTTACTTTTTAGAAGGGAGAGACACAGAGGGAGAAGGAGAGAGAGAAACTAAAGCATACTCCATGCCCAGCACAAAGCCCAAAGCAGGGCTCAATCTCACAACCCTGAGATCATGACCCAAGCCAAAATCAAGAGGGACACCCAACTGATGGAGCCACCCAGGTGCCCCTCCTACACATAGTCTTAAATTCCACACCTGGGAGATTAGTTAGAGTTATTTAATGCTATTTAAAACCAAAAGCAATTCCTCTGAAAATGTTAAAGATCTTTTGGTGCATCCCACACAGCGCAAATACATTTGAGAGTTTCTCTCAGATAGCCTCATTCAGGCAGCTTGGTTTACGGTACTGGTTCTCACACTTGGCTGTCCACTAGAATCATCTAGGGAGAATATTTTAAAAGTACTGATGCCTGCATCCTACCCTCAAGGATCCTGATTTGTTATAGAGAGTGCCCCAGGTGCTAGGATTTAAACACTTTTTTTCAGGTACTGGAATGAGATAAACCTAGTTCTCATCCCAGTGGTGATGATTATCAGCTTTGTGGACCTGGGCCTATTTTGTTTTTCTCTCTGAGCACATATTTCCCTGGCTATTAAAGGAGAACAGTAATAGTGTCCATTCAAGGTTGTTATGAAAGGTAACTATGATGACACGTATCAAAGTGCTAGTCACTGATTATGCCCTCAAATTTTCTTTCCCCCTGCCTCAGAATGGGGGTTTTCATGTGGAGAGGAGTATTTTGTAGGTAGAGAAATCTTAGAAGATTCTGGAGGCAGGAGAACCCTATGTGGCACACCAAAAGCCTGGGAATTGAAGGTAGAACAAGGGGAACTATGTGTGTGTGTGTGTATGTGTGTATACATGTGAAGAAGGAGAGGGGCAAACTGCCATTAAAAAGAAAAAAGATTTATTTATTTTAGAGAGAGTGAGCTCGTGGTGGGGAGGGGCAGAGGGACAGGGAGAGTGAAACTCAGGCACATTTGGCGCTGAGTATGGAATGCAGAGCCCAATGTGGGGCTTGATCGCACGACTGGGAGATCATGACCAGAGCTGAAACCAAGAGTTGGCCACTTAATTGACTGTACCACCCAGGCGCCCCCATATTGCCACTTGTTGAAGGGGTGGCAAAACAATGATGATAAAGTTTGAAACTGAAATTCTGTTATTCTGTTCCTACTCTCTCTCGCCTGGGGCTTCCTATATCCTACTATGTCCTGTGCACCTTTACAGAAAAGGATTAAGATTGCACAGACTGAGCAGTGTCCAGACCTCCCAACCCACAAGTACAAGGCAACCTGCCTTCCTCCTCCTAGGCCAAACAGGTGGTTTTTCCAGAATACTCACTCGATCTTCAGAAAGAGAGAGCGTGTGCACCGGGATGGGCTGCCAGGGTAGGCTGGGATTCCAGATGCTGACACCCTCTGGAGGAAATAGGCCTGCAAGGTTTGTCATAGCACTCATCAAAGTCCGATCAATGTCCGTACTTTGAATATAAACCTAGAGTGGGAAAATCAAAGGAGATTCCAACTGATCAGAACTGTGCATTTTTCCCTGTGGAGCAAGGAGTACATCTGAGAGAGGCCAGGACCCTCACACTAAAACATTACCAAACATTGTGGTAGCATCATGATCATAATGTCTACTATGAAAGAGACAGTATTAGGAGAATGCCACCTGCTATGTCAATAGTTGAATTGACAAAGAGACCAATTAAGTGGTAGCTACCCGCCAAGCCAAAGTATTTGCCATAGGTGTCCATAAAATTTTGAACTTGTCATATTCATACATTTTTTAGGAACAAAGTATTTGTATAAAAAGTAGTACATTTGGGGCGCCTGGGTGGCTCAATCAGTTAAATGACCGTCTTCAGCTCAGATCATTATCCCAGAGTCCTTGGATTGAGCCCCACATCAGGCTCCCTGCTTGGTGGGGAGTCTGCTTCTTCCTCTCCCTCGGCCCCTTCCCCCACTCATGCTTTCATTCTCTCATGAATAAACACAATCTTAAAAAAAAGAGGAGTGCATTTGTAAATAAGATCTCTGACTTGTGTAAGTTCTTTGGAAACAGGAAAAGCACTTTTGCAAATGCCACATTACGTTAAATTCTTTCATGGTAATAGGTTCCCACGCTTGGCTCCCCAACTTGCCTGTTCAGGTTTGTAGGACTCATTCAAAAATTTTCTATATCTTTTCCTTATATACTGTCCAAGTTCATAATGCTGCTCCATGCCCAGCTATGGGAACAAATAAAATCAAAAATCAGTAGAAGTAAATTCTGTGCATTTCATGTACGAGTCTCATCTTTCCTTATTCAATGTGTAGAGCAAACCATGGTGTAATTTAGTAATTCAACATATTGACATATTTTTTAAAAAAAGAAATACAAACATATTTACATATTTTTATGTAAATGAAATATAGACATATTTACATATTTTTAAATGAAAACAAGAAAAGAGAGTTGTGCTCTTCAGACATGACTCCTTGAGAAAACTGATGCATCTTCGTTAGCACTACACACAGAGCCTTGCACAGTTAATAGCTGGTGACTGATCTAAGTAAATGGTTCATCTCTGGTGTGGTAGAACATCGCTGGCTCATCTTTGTTGGTAGAACATTCAAGAGAGCAGGCTAACCAGTTGGTTAACCAGTGGAGCTTTTGTGGAAGAAATTCAACCACCTGATAAGAAGCTGGACTTGAGGGGCGCCTGGGTGGCTCAGTGGGTTAAAGCCTCTGCCTTCGGCTCAGGTCATGGTCTCAGGGTCCTGGTCTCGAGCCCCGCATCGGGTTCTCTCTGCTCAGCAGGGAGCCTGCTTCCCCCTCTCTCTCTGCCTGCCTCTCCACTTGTGATCTCTCTCTGTCAAATAAATAAATAAAATCTTAAAAAAAAAAAGAAGCTGGATTTGATGAATCTGAAGATCACTTTCAACCTCTGGGTGTAATGATTTATTATCTGCACAGTTTATTTATGCCTGGTTCATGAAAAACTAGAGTCTGTTACTCAAAGTGTGGTCTAGGGATCAGCAGGATTAGCAACACTTGGGAGTATGTTAGAAACCAGATTCTTAGGCCCCATCTTGATCTACTGAGGGGGTGGAGCTCAGGAACCCCCTTTTTAACAAGCTTTCTAAGATTCTGATGGCCAGTAATCATTGAGAAATGCTGCTTTAGTTCAGTGATCCTCAAGCATTACTGTGCATCAGCAGCAAAATTATCTAGTGATGCTTGTTGAAATGCAGATGCCTGAGCATTGTTCTCAGAGATTTCCTGCGTGTTAGATCTCGAGGTGGCCCTGGAATCTGCATTTTAACAAGCACCCCAAATGATTCAGATCATGCAGTAGAGTGCCATGCTTTGAGAAACACTGCCTTCAAGTCTGTCTTTATCCTGAGTTTTATTAGAGCTTCAGGAGTTAGAAAGCCTGTGGTCCTTATAGCCTCTGCTTGGTCCCACTCATGCCTTTGCTTGTGGTCACGGCTGCCATGATCATCACCAACCCCTAGGATGGGGAAGGAGATGGGAAAAGAGTAATGCGTGCTTTGGGTTTTGCTAGTTTCCTGGATGACATGGGTAGGAAAAGAGGCAGGTACTTTGGGCCTAATTTGTTGTACTAACTGACCGCTGCATTTTGACCAGAGTCATCCTCTATAGAGCAGTGGTTTTCAAATGTCAGCGTGCACAGAATCAACTGGAGAAGTCACTGAAACAAGGTTCCAAGAACTGAAGCCCTGAGTTTCTGGTTCAGTGGGGAGGGCCAGACAATCTACATTTCTGACATGTTTCCAAGTAATGGTAATGTTGCTCGTCCAGGGACCACACTTGGAGAACCACTGACCTGGAAGGCCATCACCTTGTCATTATGTAGATTGCAAGTACCTGGCCAAGGGCAGGAATTTGAGCTCTAGAACTTTGTGACTTCAAGAGTGGTCAGGTACCAGCATCACTGGCTTCACGTTGGAGTATGTTAGAAATAAAGACTCTTAAGTCCATGTCAGACCTGCTGAATTAGAATCTGCATTTTCCCCCCTAAGTTTTATTGCGATAGAATTGACATATATCGCTGTATAAGTTTAAGATATACAGCATACAGTTTGGTTTACATATATTGTGAAATGATCACTGTTATAAATTTAGTTAGCATCTGTCATTTCATAGAGATACAATAAAAAGAGAAAGCAAAAAAATTGTTTTTCCTTGTGATGAGAACTCTTGGGATTTACCCTCTTAATAACTTTCACATGTGTTAATAGAGCTGTTTTATCCATAGTTGTTACACTGCACATTAAATCCCTACTACTTATTTACCTTGTAATTGGAAGTTTGTACCTTTTGACCACCTTTCTCCCAGTTTTCTTCCTCCCCCAACCTCCTGCCTCTGGTTAACCACAAATCTGATTCCTTTTTCAATGAGTTTGGTTCTTAAAATTTTTTAGATTCCACATATAAACGAGATCATATAGTATTTGTCTTTGTCTGGCTTTTATTATCTAGCATAATGTCCTCAAGCAGGATTTTATCACTTTTATGGCTAAATAATGTTCCATTATAATATCTATCTATACCACAACTTCTTTATTCATCCATTTGTTGATGGGCATTTAGGTTGTTTCTATATCTTGGCTATTGCAAATAACGCTGCAATGAACACAGGGGTGCATGTATCTTTTTGAATTAGTGTTTTCATTTCCTTCATTTCATTTCATTTCCCTTAGAACCTGCATTTTTAACAAGATCCCCAAATGATACATTCATTCTAGGAAGCTTGAGAAACACTGCTCTAGGAAATGTGATGGCTAGTCAAGAGACTCCCAGAAGGAGAATCCAGATCCTACAGCCTGAAAGAATCTTATAGTCTTACTGGAAAAGCTGAACAAGAGAACAGGAGTCTCCCCACAGCCACAGGTATTAAGAAAGCCCTGAATTTTTATTACCATCCCCTTGTTTAAGGAGCTGAAAGTGGGATAGTAGTAATGTATGGTGGGAGGAGCTCTGACCAGGGAGCCCAAAGTTGCTGACCTCAAACAGCCTCTGTGGGGTTTCTCCTCTATGAAACGTTGTGGTTGAATTAGGGAAGTGGTTCTCAGACTTGGCTGCACATTAGAGTCAACTGATCAGCTGAGGGACTCTAAAAATCCCAATGTCCAGGCTATACCCTAGATGAATTAAATAAGAACCTCTGTCTGGGAGGCCGACAGACATCATTTTTTAAAGCTGTCCAAATAATTTCAGTGTTTAGCCAAGACTGAGACCCATTGGTTTAAATCCTTAGTTAAATGTTTAGGGATATTCTACTCTAAACAGTCTATGACATTTTCTTAATGTATTTAAAGAGTGCTTTGATCAGGGCAGAAGCAACACATGGGGCCTCCAGCTCTGAACAGAAAAGACACCCGCTGTTGCAAGAGAAGGGGGTGGTGCTCTGGAGCAGGGACTACAGTGCCTTTGTCCCCCACGCACCCCGCCTTCACTTTCTCCTTTAGTATTCTTTAGGAAGTAGGGCTCCCTGTGTTTAAGACCACTTATAAGAAGGCCCAATCCCAGTATATTCAGCTGATAAAAAAATCAAATTTGGCATCAGCACTTCCAAAGGAATCCTGTCTTCCCAAACCTGCTGATTCAGTTTATCAATTACAAGATTATTTTCTGCTTCCTTGGAGGGAGGCTGAGCAACTCAGGGGCTGGCTTCCAAGGATCTCTTGGCTCTCCTTAGCATCTTTAAGCTCATGTGTTCATCTGTTGCCATGTATAGCTCTTATGCTTTAATAAAGCCAAACAGGGCAAAAAAAAAAAAAAAAAAAAGATCAAAACGGGCAATTTTATACAATTTTCCTACAGTTACTAGTCACTAGGAGTGACTTGGTCATGATCAGAAATTATCGAAGTTAACCATTACTGTCTTGCCTTTCATGATCAAAACACACTTTAGACTTTTTAGTTCCTAGGTTTTTATGCAAAATATTCTCCCAGATCTGAGTAACTTAAGTGGTTATTTGGTTTCAATGTATTACAAACTCCACAGTTTCCCTTAAGACTCATCAGCAACCTTTTAGCTGAAAATCCAACCAACCTGAGTGAGTTGGCCAAATCCTTGGGGCCATGAGGATTCCTTAATGGGGTCATTAGGGAAGGTTTCAATGGGACTTCGGTCTCCATGCCTAAATACCTGAAAAGAGATCAAGACAGTAACATTACAAATTTCACTTAGGTATTTTAGCTCAGCTCATCTTCATAGATTTTCTTCTAAACCAGTGGTTCTCAACATTGGGATGTGGCCAGGGCATCAGGATTTTACACTTGATCTTAGTTAAGAGGCCGAGAAGTGATTCGGAGCATTAGGATTTTTAAGACCTCCTCATTTAAGGGGTGCCTGGGTGGCTCAGTGGGTTAAGTGTCTACCTTCAACTCAGGTCATGATCTCAGGGTTATTGGATCAAGTCGTGCGTCTGGTTCCCTGCTCAGTGGGTAGTCTGCTTCTCCCTGTCCTCCCTGCTTGTTCTCTCTCCCTCTCAAATAAATAAATAAATCTTAAAAAAAAAAAAAAAGACCTCCCAGGTAAATCTCAGGTTAAGAACCACGGTTTGCATCTCACTAACACTTTCCCGTGTTTCAGGTAATGTAAGTGAGGAGACAGTCAGTCATTAGGAAGCAGACGAGCCATACATGGAGACTGGTTTGTATACTGGGGCAAAGAGGAACACAAAGTTTAGCATGATCACTTTAGTTTTTATTTATTTATTTTTTTAAAGATTTTATTTATTTATTTGACAGAGAGAGAAATCACAAGTAGGCAGAGAGGCAGGCAGAGAGCGGGGAAAGCAGGCTCCCTGCTGAGCAGAGAGCCCGATGCAGGCCTCGATCCCAGGACTCTGAGATCATGACCTGAGCCCAAAGGCAAAGGCTTAACCCACTGAGCCACCCAGGTGCTCTGCAAGATCACTTATTGCAGACAGGCTCTGATGAGAAGTATTCTTTCTTAATTATGGTGTAAAAAATTTTACATATGATAAAACCAGTCGCTTTTAAATGTCACATATAATTTGTGACCATCTTGAGCCAATGATTTATTAGTTTTTAGGAGATTAGAGATAAAGGACTTAGGCAAAGGGAGATTAGAAAAGCTAATTCTTAATACTTTAGAATTTGTATGCATGTCATGCTATTTTGATTGCACATTTTCCTCTTTGGAGAGAGTAGTCAGGACTTTCGAAATGTTGGTATTTTCTGACTCCAATGCGCTTTCTGAATAAAATACCAAACTAAATACAAAGCTGTTTTATCAGCAAAAGATAAGACATGAAAAATACTCCAGAAGTCCAAGATGAAGTCTATACTGATGCCAGCAAACATTTTTAATACAGAGGAGGGCCGCAGGATACCTTGCATTATTATAGTGCAGATTTCCTGCACTTGTCATTTACACTACCTGGCTAAGATGCTTCAGGAGACACAGAATAAGGAAGAGTTGTCAATTTTAGCCATCTTTCAGATGGGATTCCAGGAAAGTGAGGGAGGCTTGTAGGACCTGGGTTGTTTCTCTGGTGTCTAAAGAAAACTTACCTTTTGGTCCCCTAAACTGGTGAGAAATAAAAATTGCAGTAGAACAGGCCATAGCAAACAGAGACCATGGTGTAGTGGATCAATCTATCTATCTATCTTTCTTTAATTTAAAAAAAAAGATTTTATTTATTTATTTGATAGAGAGAGAGAGACAGTGAGAGAGGGAACACAAGCAGGGGGAGCAGGAGAGGGAGAAGCAGGCTCCCCGCTGAGCAGGGAGCCCAATGTGGGGCTTGATTCCAGGACCCTGGGATCATGACCTGAGTCCAAGGCAGACGCTTAATGACTGAACCACCCAGGGACCCCTCATTAGTTCTCTTTCTATAATCTAAACATATTTTGGACTTTTTGGATCCCAGGTAATTGTGCAAAAATATTTTCTTAGATCTGAGTAACTAAAATTGTTACGTGGTTTCAGTTGATTATAAATCCTACAACATTTAGTTTCCAGGGCATCTCAACCTCAGCACTGTTGACATTTTGGGCTGGATAATTCCTTGTGAGGGGCTATCCTATTACCTGCAGAATGTTTAGTGGCGTGTCTGGCCTTTGCACACTAGAGTGCAGTAGCAGTCCCTAATTGCGACAATCAAAAAGTTCTCCAGACATTGCCAAATGTTCTGTAGGGGGCAAAATCATCTCTGGTTGGGAATGCCTAAGTTGGCCAAAGGGAAGTCAGATGAGAGACATTGTAGTAAAATAATTTACAATGCTTCTAACCAGCCTTTAACCACAATAGCTCAAGGTTTTGTTTTGTTTTGTTTTTTTTTAAGATTTTATTTATTTATTTATTTGAGAGAGAGAGAGTGCGAGCACAAGCAGGGTGAAGGGCAGAGGGAGAAGGGGACTTGATTCCAGGACCCTAGGGTCATGAACTGAGCCGAAGGCAGACACTTAACCAACTGAGCCACCCAGGTGTCCCTCAAGGTTTTTTGAATGCTTGATATGTCCTAGAAACTGTGCTAAGTGCTTCTCTTAATTTAATCCATTCATCAGTTCTACAAAGCATTTATGAATATTATCTTCATTTCACAAACAAGGAAATCAGTCCTAGTTAAGTGACCTCCCTAAGGTCACACAGCATGTAAATGACAGTAGAGATCCAAGCACAGACGGTGTGCCTCCAGTGCCAGCATTCTTAACCCGTGTTAAGAGGCTCATTTCTCTGCTAAAACACACCCTCGGCATCCCTTCAGTGGGCTCTCCAGGATCCGGGGCTTCGTTATGAACTTTTCCTCTAAGATCAGAAGCTCTCTGTGTTGCAGGGGAGGGGGCGGTGCTGCACTACAGGAAAACTCTGATGTAAGCAACAATCCCAAATACTACTTAAAAAATAGAACTGAGATTATGCATCTAAATGACAGTGTAGCCTAGGGAGAAAAATAAGCATGGTGCCCTTAGAGGAGGGTTATTTAAACAGCAGAGTCCTGGAACATAATCACAGGCTTGAACAAGCTTTCTTACTCTGTCCTTACAGGTCAGGAATAATTGTACTTCCCTACACTGCAGTAAGTTTTAAGGGTTTTTGAGATAGTGGCTCAAACAATCTGTGAGCTCTTCAAAAGGGGTGTCCCCCAGAGACGACAAACCATCCCGCTCCGCATCCCCAGACGCTGGAAATCAGTACGTGTGTGTGCGTCAGTGTGCATGTGTTGTGTGCATATCAGTGAGTGCCCTCAAGTGCACACACGCCATTCTTGGGCTCCTGGAGTTTCAGGTGGAGCCTTTAGACTGTGCCTCAGTGCTTTTAAGCCTGCGGTAAGGCAAACTTCTTAACAGCCGCCTGCCAAATTTGTATGAAATCCTTCAGATTTGTATGATATCCTTCAGAAACCTAAACTTATAGTGTAAGCCCCAGGCCTATTATGCAGCCCCAGAGGTAACTGCAATAGGAAGACATCCAGGATAACAACCCCTTATGTCCGTGTAACCCTCCAGGGTTTTGTACAGTCTTTTCCCTGCTCTCTCTTTCAATTCTCAGAACTCCTGCAAGGCCAGGCTGGCCCTATTGCTGTCCTGAACCAAAAAGGAAACGGAGGTTCAAAGAGACGAAATGAGCCATCCAGATCTCTTGGTTTTCATGAATGCTACCCACTGTTTTCTCCCCCACATCACATTCACTTTATCCTTTTAGATCACAGGTGACTTTTTAAAAAACAGAACCATGGTCTGGTTCCCCCAAGAATGATCCTTCTCTATCCAGTCTTCTGAGTGGGTTTGCCCTATTATATCATCCCTCCTGATCTGGCCCTCCCCACCTTGATGCTACTATCTTACACTTTTGCTAAACATGCTTAGCCACAGAGCCCCTGCTGTTGCATCCAATACATTGTTCCAGCCTCAGGGCGGTGAAGTTCCATCCGTCCGGAATGTCCTCCTCCTACTTCTAATCCTGGCGGTCACTGAATCCAGGTCCCTTCTGAAAAAGGCAACCAAGAGAGGCCTCTCTTGACCTCCCATACTCACCATACTTATTACTCTTTCTCTAAAAAGTTAAAAATAATGATTCTCTAAGGGTTTTCTATGGGACACTCTGGGAAAAGAGGAGGTGGATTCTGTGGTCAAATTTTAGGAAATATAGTTTCCTACTAGATCCTTTCCTTTAAAGCCACAGCACATATTAAAATATTATTATTATTTTTAAAGATTTTATTTGTTTATTTGAGATAAAGCCAGAGAGGGAGAGAAAGATAGCATGAGCAGAAGGACAGAGGGAGAGGGAGAAGCAGACTCCCCACTGAGCAGGAAGCCCGATCCCAGGACCCTGGGATCATGACCTGAGCCAAAGGTAGAGGTTTAACCGACTGAGCCACTCAGGTGCCCAGAGATGTTAGACTATTAAAGACTGAGGAGTCCTGCCCTTTAGAGACCCGAAATACAATGTGACTCTTGTTTTGTTCCCAAAACTGATCTGACTACTGAAACCCATTTTTTCTTCCAAGCAACTCCTGTTAACAACTCGTCAAACTAGCATTCCATAGGACACACATTGATAAACCTGTTTTAAAAGATTGTGTGATAACTCTGTTCATGAGACAGAACAAGAGCCAAGGACAGTTTCCTGCTCTTTCTGCCAAGGACAGCTTCTAAGAAGTGGGAAAGATTTATTTTTCCTGGATCTCGGAGGAACAGCAAGGAAACTACCTACTGATTAGGAGCTGTCGGTGCACCTAACCTCCAGGGGGAGTTCTCAGCTCCATGTGCTGGCTCCATTCCAGCAGGAATGGACTATGTGCAGGGATCAGGGTCAGAGCCTCCGTCATACAACCTGGATTCACATCCGGACAAACCACGGCTACCACGTAACTGTGGACAAATTGCTTAGCCTCTTTGCGTCTCAATATCTTTATCTATAAAATAGAGATAGTAAAGTTTCTGTAAAATTTTAAAGAGCAGTCGCCAGATGGAGCAAACCAAACTGCAGGATGCCCAAATATTGCACGAAACATACTTTATGCTATAAAATTATTTGTTGTTTATCTGAAATTCAAATTTAACTGGGTATCCTGTGTTTTCCTAGGAACCCTACTTCACGGGGTTGTTGGAAGGATAATGGGACATTTTCCATATCGCACTCTCAGAACAGTGCCCAGCATATAATAACATCAAGTGATGATTGGTTATTGTTACAAATGTTACCACTTTAATTAGAGGCACCTTTCTTTTATTCTGGTTCTAATAATTTTCTAAGGATTTGCCTGGGTATATAATTTAACCATTTATGGTCAAATATTCTCCATAATCAATAAAAAGAAAGTAGTATCTCATCGCTGAAGTCCTTAGATATTGTTTGGTAAGAGCCAAGAAGTTGTATTAAGTTGCCTTTCATCTACCATTAATGGAAGAAAGCCTTGCTAGGAAAAATCATTAACATTAGCCTTGTGTGATAAATGTTAATCTTTATAGCTCCAAGAGAACTATCTTTGTAAGGTTTTCTTGTCGTTATCCTTTTTTTTTTTTTTTTAAAGATTTTATTTATTCAGGGACGCCTGGGTGGCTCAGTTGGTTAAGTGGCTGCCTTTGGCTCAGGTCATGATCCCAGTATCCTGGGATCAAGTCCCGCATCCCTGGGACTTGGCATCCCTGGGATCAAGTCCCGCATCGGGCTCCTTGCCCAGCAGGGAGTCTAAAGTGGGATTCCATCCCCAGGACCCTGAGATCATGACCTGAGGTGAAAGCAGATGCTTGCTTAACTGAGCCACCCAGGTGTGTCTGTCAGGTTTTTCTTAGGGTAGAATTAAGTTGTAGTCCGTGAACATCTGTTCACTGAGAGTGACGAGGGAGAAAGGAAGCCCTAGACAGTTTGGTAGTCAAGGGAGTGAGCCCGTGCTGGAGTAAAACAGACACAGAATTGACCACATGCGGTTAACTCCAAGTTCACTATAATACCTCACAGACGATTACCTCTCAGCCAACTTGCCACAGGCCTACAGTGTTGAGAGTGCAGTTTCTGCTGTGTCCCCCACACTTGCTTAATGTACGTGTTGGCAAGAAACCCATGAATATAAGTAAAAGTCCCACTTGCGTGGATTTCTTTACAGAAGGTACACGATATGACACACGGTTCTTTTTTCAGCACAGAGGTCTGACAGCTGGTAAATCACTTGTAAATAAATTGATGATATGTTTCTCTGATTCTCTCTCATTTGTTGACTCATGACCTAGTAAAGATTTATTGCACTAACAATCATAATTTGCATAATCATATGGTTATGAAATTTATTCTGTGGAAGGGAAAGAAAGGAGTTCTGAAAACACTCAGCTGAGGAAACAGGAATTTTATGTTTGATATTTTAGGTAAAAGATGACCTCCCTGAAAATTATAGAAATAAATTTTGAGTATTCTCATAGGAAGAAAATTTACTTATTTACCAGTGTATTTTCCATCTATCAAATAAAAAAGGCGAGGAAGAGAAAGAGATTGAGAGAGCAGGTGTGAAAGACAAAGAAAGGGGCAGAGTTGGGGCGGGAGGGGGTGGAGACAGTGAGTGCAACAGGTTAAGAGAGAAGTAGAGATACAGAGAAAATCACAGACAGGGAAACCCAGGGACACACAGGGATTAACCCCAGGACTCCCAGGAAAGTGATAAATCCCCTTCACGTTGCAAACCCCCTTCCTACCTACTTCTAAGAAAACATCCACAGTGTATTTTCTTTCCTTCCCGTCACACATAAGCCACCCCTCTTTCCCCACAACTTGTCACACATCCGGGGGTGGAGAAAAACATTATTTTAATGATCAATCAAATCTACATATCAGGAAGTCCTCCTCGAAATTTCTCAAATTTAATTTCACTTTTATGCTTCAAAGACGGTTGGCAAATAGAGTTTCCAATTTCCTGATAAAGAAAAGGGGAAGGGGCTCCTTCATGCAGAAGATGGGTGTTCTTTGGTTTGCAAACAAATAATCATTGCACTGAGGGAAGCCTGGTTAGCTCCTGGGGCTAATGTGGCCAGCTGGGGCTTCCCGCACAGCGTCTGTGGCTGTCAGGAGGAACCACACACTCAGGGCAGCTGTGAAATACGTGAATAAATAAATAACAGCGGCAAAGGCACAAATAGCCGAAGCAAACACTTTTTGTCAGGACACGTTAAGTATTCGTTGGGAGGAGCTTGCGAAACTTGATTATGCACTTTCTGAGTTAGGACTCTGGGAGACCACAGTAGGGGGTAAAGTGAAACCTGACACCTGGGTATCAGCCCCCGCTGGTAACAGTTTTAAGGAAAAAACAAGGAGAAAAGTCTACTCACCAAAGTCAGGAACTTGAGCTCCTTGGCGACCGCACCTCGGTCTACCCAGGAGAGCAGAAGCCAGAAGCTAAGGCCAAGGCTTGCTGCCCTGGCCACGGGGAGCAGGGCAGCCCTCATGCTGGGGAGTGCTTTCTCGGGCTGGAGTTCCGAGGTGCTGTTTCCAAAGCAAAAGCCATTAGAGGGCAAGCTATTTAACAAAGGGATTGGAAGGGAAGGAGTCCCTGGGCGGAGCCAGACGCAGAAATAGTAAGATCACCAGGTAGTTTGGGGCGGGGTTTGGCAAGTGTCTGTTCGGGTAATTTGAGGGCTGGGTGTGAGAGATCCCAGTCTTCTGGATTTAAGGTAGAATGCTGAGACCCAGAGAGAGGAAAGCTGTTGCTCAAGGTCAGGGAGCATGTTAAGACACTTTTCCCCCCTAAAGTTTACCATTCCCTTTTCTTTAGATAGGGTGTGATACAGTGTTTTCTTTGTGGCTGTCACTTGGGAAAGGGATCTGCCTGGACTTTAGAAACCTTAGGCCTGTTATTCCTAACTGGGAATTTGGAAATTCAGAAATATAGGCACAGAAATATGGAAGGGACTGCGAGTACTGGTGTATTTTAGGTCTATTCCCCAGGCCAAACTTGGCTCCCTTTTGTAAAACTCTCATGTAGCCTAGAGAGGTGTTTTTATTATTATTATTTTTTAAATTTTCGAGAGGTGTTTTTGAATTGAAGAAAAGTAAGAAAAATTTTATTTTGAAAACTTTTAGTGACACCTTCAGATATTTGGGGTTCATCTGTGGTGTCTCAAAATTAGGATTAGAAGTGCCTTTCCTAAGCTGACACAATTGAAAAACGATGACAACAACAACAAACTGACCTATAACTATGGTGTCAGTCACTGTCTTGGGCCCTGAGCCCTGCATTCTGCATTCTGGGTGAGTCACAGCCTTGCCTCTCCAACTCTGATCTCATCAGGGACGCTACAAAAGAGGAAAATCTGGACTGAGGGAATTTAGCTTTCCATTTTCCCCCCCAACCCATCAGCCCCATTGTAGGCTGAACCTACCCCCTCAGCAGAGGGAGATCAATAGTTGGTCTCACAAGGTGGTCTCTGGTACATTGTACCTGTGGCAAGAGGGTTCTGTGGTGAAGGGATCACAGAATGCCCTAGCGTGTGGTGTGTGGGAAAGTGGGTGCTTCTTTTGGTATGGAAGAGTGTGTGTGAAGAATGAATGAATGTGTGGTAGGGTTAGACATTTCAGGGGATTTGGGACCCTGTGTTTGCTATCACATTCTTCACCTGCCAGTCCCCATTGTCATTTTCAGTGAGTGGCATGCATTCAGGGATAAAGGGATGGAGGTTGAGAGCTAGTCCAGGGCAGATTTGAAATTGCTACACTGATGGTCCCTGCTGTATGCACCAGGCAACCTGACCAAGGAAGCTCCAGTTCCCGATTACCTTTCACTTGGCTTTGACCCGCATGCCTTAAATTGTACCAGATACGTCATTCTGTTCAATGTTTTTTCAAGGATCAGGTTGGCTCCTTGTTGTCCTGTCTTCTTCCTTATCTACCTCTGGCTTGATGCCTGGCTATAGGCTTAGTGCTTCCTGGTACTGTCTCTGGTTCTCTAACCCACTATGCCGTGTTGTGTTGGGTTGGATAAAACCCTCTTCTGATCCAGATCCTACTTTCTCTGCATCACCTCCTCTGGGATCCTTGTAGCCCTCCAAGTAGCAACAATAGTAGCAGCAGCTGCAGCAAACAATTCTTAGAGAAACCCAGACAGGATAATTACATTGAATACATCTCAACCTAAACTGGTTCGGGTTGGAATAAGTGGACAGTTTATACTCCTATTCTCTACCCTCGTCATCACCCTAACTTCTACTTTGATTATTAAATTATAAGGGGAGGAGAAGATCATAGATATAGATCTGAATACTCAGATTAAATTCACTTAAGAATCTTCTTTGGTCTCTTCATAAGGCCTTTGTGAAGGCTTAAAGAGTCGTCTGGAATAAATATGCAGATATGGTAGCTTTAAAGGTGAGACTTCAGGGTGCCTGGGTGGCTCAGTCAGTTAAGCGTCTGCTTTCAGCTCAGGTCATGATCCCAGGGTCCTGGGATCGAGTCCCCCTTGCTCAGTAGAGAGTCCCCTTCTCCTTCTTCTGCTCCCCCTGCTTGTGCTCTCTTTCAAAAATAAAAAAATAAAATCTTTAAGGAAAAAAAAAAAAAAGAAAAAAGGTGAGACTTAAAAAAAATTGGGTGTCTTTATTGATATCCCAAGAAAGGGTGCCAGTAATTTTTATGTCGATGATTAGAAGAACTTACTGTCTGAATCACTTTTGTTTCTTCATATAGCTCTATGTAACTAACACAACACTATGTTAGGAAGTCCCTTAAGTGGAGCAGGTTGGGTTCATTGGAAAGCCAACTCCCAGATGGAGATTTGCATGCGGGAAATTTATTGAGGAATGTTCTCAGGAGTAACAACAGAAGGGGTAAGAAAGATAAGCAGGCTTGGGCAGAGGGAGAAGACCTCAGCTGACCCTGCTAGGAGTGCGGAAGCTGGGATAGCCTTTGAAGTTGTCCTGAACTGGGGAGAGGGAACTGGGAATTTTTTTTTTACTCCTGCCTCAGCCAGTCATTGGATGCAGGCTGCTCCCAGCAGGGAGTGTGGTGGTGGGTAAGGTGGCTTTCTTCCACCCACGACAGTTCTGAAAGGAATTGACAGCTGAGTAATGTCAAAGAATAAAATCCCAAGAGCTGGAGGGAATTAATCCTGCAGCTCACGGAGGGAGATTTGTGTGGTACAACACAGAATCCATGACCATGAACAATTATTCATAGGAAAAGAATTCATGATCCTGGGTAGATCAAAGGCTGTGAAAGCACTAAGCATGCCTCTGATAGCAAGAGTCTGTCTTGGAGTTAAGATCCATCAATAGATACATTGGTTGCTCACCAAGGAGGAAGGCTGTGTTTAAACTCCTCACTTGTTACACCTTTGCAATTGTATTATTTGACTCTCAGTGACTTGCAGACTACTGGGCACTAAATAGTAACGATTAATCAACAGTCACTGTCCCAGCAAACTGTTGCACCAGAACTTGGTTACAGTGTTAGCTGCTCTGAGACAAATGGAAGAGGGGCTTAGAATAAAAGTTTTTTTCTCCTTTACTGATCATTTTGGGTGTTTAGTGTTTGTCTGTAAGTCTGTTTGCCCTTGGTATGTCTGTTTTATTTTGAATATTTAGGTAAACATCCAATGTTAATGTCATTGGTGGTGTGGTGGTGGGGAGTGATGTAAGATCAGTGACTGTCCTGCCAAACTTGATGGGAGCCTGAGGCAAATGGAAAATCAATAGGGTGCCTGGGTGGCTCAGTCATTGCACATCTGCCTTCTGCTAGAGTCATGATCCCAGGGTCCAGGGATCGAGCCCCATATTGGGTTCCCTGCTCAGCGGGGAGTCTGATTCTCCTTCTCCCACTCCCCCTGCTTGTGTTCCCTCTCTTGCTGTATCTATGTCTGTCAGGTAAATATACAACCTTTTTTTTTTTTTAATCGATAATGCTGACCCTGTTTTTACTTTAAACTTTGACATCTTTTTATTTTTATTAGTTTTCTAAGATTTTAATTATTTATTTGTCAGAGAGAAAGAGAGAATGAGCACATGCAGGGGGAGTGGCTGGCAGAGGGAGAAGCAGGCTCCCCACTGAGCAAGGAGCCTGATGCAGGGCTTGATCCCAGGACCCTGAGATCATGACCTGAGCCAAAGGCAGACACTTAACCGACTGAGCCACCCAGGCATCCCTTGACATCTTTTTAAATGATAGATTGTTTTACATTAATTTTTGTTTTTTCAAAATACTGTGCTAAAATATTATTGATCACAGCTTTGTAGTAAAGCTTGAAATCAGGGATTGTGATGCCCCCAGTTTTGTTTCTCTTTTTCAACATTTCCTTAGCAATTCGGGATCTCTTTCTGGTTCCATACAAATTTTAGGATTGTTTGTTCCAGCACTTTGAAAAATGCCAGTGGAATTTTGATTGGGATGGCATTGAAAGCATAGATGGCTCTAGGCAGTATAGACATTTTAACAATGTTTATTCTTCTGATCCATGAGCATGGAATGCTCTTCCATCTTTTTGTGTCTTCTTCAATTTCTTTCATGAGTGTTCTGTCGTTCCTCGAGTACAGATCCTTTACCTCTTTGGTTAGGTTTATTCCCAGGTATCTTATGGTTCTTGGTGCTATAGTAAATGGAATTAATTCTCTAATTTCCCTTTCTATATTTTCATTGTTAGTGTAGAAGAAAGCAACTGATTTCTGTACATTGATTTTGTATCCTGCCACATTACTGAATTGCTGTATGAGTTCTAGTAGTTTGGGGATGAAGTCTTTTGGGTTTTCCATATAAAGTATCATGTCATCTGCAAAGAGAGTTTGATTTCTTCTTTGCCAATTTGAATACCTTTTATTTCTTTTTTGTTGTCTGATTGCTGTTGCTCATTATTAGGACGTTTCTGGCATCCCTGTATGTTACGAGCCCAAGGTCGATGCCTCGCTCTCCTCACCCTAGTTCCCAGACATGACTCTATGAATTGGAACACGGGAGAGAACAATTTCTTTTTTCTTTTGAGATGAAATAATCTGACTTCTTCCTGTTCTGTCTCCAAGGAATTGAAGGCTTGGGCGGGATAAGGACATCAGGAACAGAGGACTGTTATCTGTTAGACTGAACAAAGGTGACCTTCAGCTGCTCCTCAGACTGTATTTACTTGCATAGGCCTGGCCTCTGACCTACTCCTTTGCCCCTGTGGTAACACTGCTTTCCTCACAGTCAGAACTAACTCACCTGAGAGAAGAGGCGACAGTGACTCGTAACTGAGAAGGAGCTGTGAAGAACAGGGATGGGGTCTGACGTGGTCACCCTGGAACGAGGCTCAGTTGTTCAGGAACTGACAGGAGAGACTGTTGTGTCATCGTCCACCTTGTGAGTCATTCCAAGGCTCTGGTCACTGGGATAACAAGGCAAATATTGTCCTACCACTGTTTCAACTCCCATACAGCCATCCAGACAGACCATTGTATTGGTTCTACTCTATTTAATATGGAAGGGAAAGAACTCACCACTTATAAAACTATGATCCTGTCTCATTTTGTGTAACGTGTGTCAAAGAAACATGCACATTTTGATGGTGTC